GGGACGTCGACTTGTTTGTTTTGTCATGTCCATAACACGTAAATCCTTGTGTGTGTGTTATTAAGCTATCTATAGCGGAAGACGATTTTAGTGCTTCGAAATTTTCAGCCGCTGAAGACTGCGTCATGCTTGATAGACAAGGCTACTTCATACAAGTCTTAAGATATTTCAATTGCTTTTAATTTCGAAAAGCTTCTTACAGCTGTTGCAGTTGTAATCTAGATCTAGAGGGTTGAGAAAAAACCTAGCTGTAGAATCTAACGTTTAGCACCTGAGAATTTTTTATTTAGCCTACGGCCTAAAAACTTGGACGAGATTGTGAAAAACTCGTTACAAATTTTTTTTTCGTACGCGGGGCCCGTATGGAAAATAATTCCCTGTCATTTTTGACATTGAAGAGTTCATTGTGTTTTGGTAGTAGAGTTAATAAAAATACGATTTATTTAACTAAACCAAGAGGAAAGAAATTGTGATATTGATTAAAATAGTGTATTTGATATTTCAAGGAAAGAAGAGAAACATTAAGAACAAAGAAAACGATAAAACCTAGTTGTTGAGTTAAACTGCAAAACAAGATAAAAATCATATTAAATTACTGACGATACCGGTCATTGCTTAGGTGAAAAAAATCATTTTTATTGATTAAGTATTAATGTTTGACCGCGAATATTTCGAAAACTATGAGGTATACGTAATAATAGTTCAATAAAAAGTATTCAGAATATCGAGCAGAATACAAATATCGAGTAACATGTATACCATTTCATGAGAAAAACAAAAGTTGCTATCAATTTCTGAAAAACTGGCAACATCGCCGATATCATCAGCGGATCCGCCGTGCTTTCAAACCTAAACCTACCAACTTTAAAAAAAAAATAGTTGAGTCATTCCTCAGATATTCGATGCGTTCCAAACTTTTGTTACAGTCTGTATATCGAAGAGTATGCGAATTAAATGCATAATGTTTTTTCGGACAAAACTTTTTCAAAATAAGATTCGTCTTTTATACTGAAATAGCTGTGTAAGCAGAAGCCCGAATACCAGGGCACTGCGGCTACTATTGAAGAAACTTTGTTGAAGGCAATGTAAGTATCGTCTATTCTTTGATGCTTGTTCGCAATCAGTATACTTCAGTGAATACAATATCTTAATTGACCACCTCTGTAAAGAGAATAGACGATGCCAGTCTGCACCCTGACCCATCATCAACGTGTATGTCCCATTTCAATTTCTTGTCGACGTGTATACCTAGAAATTTTGTATGTTCAGTATCTGGATCTTTCAATGAAAATATCATATTTACTGTCTTGTTTTCATTCAGAGCCAGCTAATTTGCATCAAACCAGTTTTTGGCAGTCGACTGTGCGATCACAGCTTTCCCAATAAGCTCAGAAATAGCATATTTTTTGATCTAACAGAGATGGCAGTAGCATCAGCAAATAGTATATAGTTTCAATTTTTGTGGTTCGGCAAATCATTGATATATATATATATATATATATATATATATATATATATATATATATAGGTGAAAAATTAAAGCTTCCGCTTTTTGTTGGGTACTTCGACAAGATTTAAGCAAAGAGGACTCTTTATACTTTTTTTTAATTCTCTCTAGCTTTCAATGGACTTTGCCATCATCATCAGGAGCTGCAATTACAATGATAACAGTAGCAACAAAGGTGTAAAATGAATTTAAATTGACTCAACTTACAGTAGTATGTGAGAATGTTGCTAATTGTTGTTTACGTATAGGATGAGGGAAACGTCCAGTAACATGGTGAGAGCTGAATAGGTTGCACAATAGTCAAAATTTATACAAAACATGACAAGAACAAGTTAAAAACAGATTAAAAATTATTTAAAAACATTAAAGCATTACATCGTGAAGCCACTTGATGATTGCACAAAATGGTGGTCATGGAATAATGAGTGAGATGAACCCTTTGACAGAAGGCCGAAGGTTGTCAATGTCTGTGTAGAAGGATGGAACGAATTGTGGGCGTGTGCCAACGTTGCCAAATCACTTCAGATGATGTGATTTTCAGAATGTTATGTAAGAAATTGTTAAACCGACCAGAGGCAGTTGAATAAACTATATTTTAATTAATGGGAAATTAAATTAACAACTATTATTAAATCGTGAGAAGAGAATTATTAGAATTTGAGTGGAATGAAATTTACTGGTGGAATCGACCAAGATACAGATTCTATTATGGTTGTGAAGAGTCAAAATTTGGGGAGATATGTAAGTTCTCCAATTTTTCGCAGCTTAGCAAATATGAGTAAATGACACTCAGTTGTTTAACATCTGTCTTTTGTTGATACAGTTGTTATTCATGAAAATGTGGGACATTTCCAGGAATAAACGTTTGGAAAGGTGTTTTTCTTCATCAAGAACTTTGATACTTGTGTAATTATGTTATGTTATGTAATTTCTTACATAACATTCTGAAAATCACATCATCTGAAGTGATTTGGCCACGTTGGCACACGCCCACAATTCGTTCCATCCTTCTACACAGACATTGACAACCTTCGGCCTTCTGTCAAAGGGTTCATCTCACTCATTATTCCATGACCACCATTTTGTGCAATCATCAAGTGGCTTCATAATTTTTAATCTGTTTTTAACTTGTTCTTGTCATATTTTATATAATTTTGACCATTGTACCATCTATCCAGCTCTCACCATGTTACTGGACGTTTCCCTCATCCTATACGTAAACAACAATTAGCAACATCCTCACATACTACTGTAAGTTGAGTCAATTTAAATTCATTTTACACTATTGTTGCTACTGTTATCATTGTAATTGCAGCTCCTGATTATGGTGGCAAAGTCCATTGAAAGCTAGAGAGAATTTGTTTAAATTTTGTCGAAGTACCCAACAAAAGGCGGAAGCTTTAATTTTTCACCTAACTGGTCTAGACGACAATGACCACGTCTCAAGTTATATATATATATATATATATATATATATATATATATACAATCAATTGTTAATTTGGAAATTGGCAAATTTTTAGGGTTAAGTTGACTCTTTTGACGATAAAATCAAGCTTTCGGCATTCTATATGTAGCCTTCATCAGGATTCTGAAAACACAATTGTGATGCTATCAAAGAAAACAGGACAGATTTAGATTGTCAAACAACTTACTCGTCGTTGAGGTTGCAGCCTCAAGGTGTTTCAAAACGAACGTAGAGAAGATAGAACTCGTAATAAGTATAAAAACAAAGGGACGGAGACATTGGGCTTGTTGATAACGACAGATACCTTCGTTACATGTTAAGAATATCAATACACCCGAACATATTAAAAATTATTACACGTGAGAAGACATTTTAGTGAAACAATCGGAATGCAGTCTCTAACCTCCTACTTCCGATACACGTGGAGAGGGGGACGACACGGAAAGATAATGCGTCGACAGATGACAAGTGATTGACGCGACGGACCGTGGAACTGTAAACCTCGTTGTCCAATTTGGTATGAAGTATACGAGGGACCCTCGGTAAACCTCCACCCAAATTACTAAAATGCTGACTTAATTTGTTTTGGAAAAATGTGTAATTCATATGAGTGTACGAATGTGAGATAGTGATACAACCTTGAAAAGATGGGTTATGTGAGTTTATATTAAAGATTGTGAGTGAGAAAATGTATTCTTATTTTGTGACGATGTTGGTTCGATTTGGATATGTAGCCGTTGTAGCTTTTCGCAATTCAACAGGTAGAAATAAATGACACTGAGCTGCTTAACATCAGCCTTTTTATTCATGCAATGATATGTCATGAAAATATGGTACATTTCTAAAAATAAACGTTCTGAGAGTCTTTTTTCTTTATCTAGAACCTCAATACTGCCATAATTCATAGAGTGACCTGTGTTGTTAATATGAGATGCCAAAGCACATCTCTCTGGTTGTAATATATTTTTCATCTCATGTTTTTTTCCGATTTTTACTAATTGTTTTCTATTTATTAAATATGAATCGATTAGGTTGCAAGACTCTGTTTCGAAGTTGTACATTGTGAGCTTTCTGATTAAGTGGTATGTGATACACTGTCAAATGCCTTGCTTAAATCACATAATATGGTCTGCAAGGATTCTTTTTCTTCAAAAGCGTCAATTATGTCATCGACCAACTTCAAAACTGCGAAGGTTGTCTTTTTTGATATCGAAATCCGAACTGGTTCAAATATAACATGTTATCTGTTTTAAAATGTAAGACGATCTTTTACCAAGCATTTTTCGTAAATTTTGCTGAGAACAGGAAGTAATGATATTGGGCGATAGTTTGCGATATCTTCATCATCTCCGGTTTTGAAAACGGGTATCACAACTGCACGTTTTAAGCAGTCCGGAAATTTGCTACAGTCAATGCAAATATCCATTAATTTGGTAATAGGCATTATTATTTGATTTTTGATCATTTTATATTAGAAGAGTGCTCACATCATGAATATCTTTAGAGTTCTTTGTTTTAATAGAATTGAAAGCATCTCTGACATCATTAAATGATACCTTTTCAAAATTGAAGTGACGCATTGGTAGAAGTATATTCTTTCTGGATGTAGCTCACCTTCATCCAAGTTTTCTATGTTAACAGTTTATTCGCAACAGCACAGAAAAAGTCGTTGAATTCATTTGGTTCTATTGACGTATTCATCCCATTGCTGGTATTTTTATTTTTACTAACAATTTCTCACATTAGGTTGTTAGACCTTTTAATGATCTGTTCGTTATATTTTTTCCTTTGCATTTATTGTTTGTTTATATTTTTTCTTGAAGCTGGTTAGTATTCTTTTCATGTAAACAGAATTTTATTTGTTATACAAGAAATTAAGGAAAAATAAATTCCAGAATGTAGAGCGATGTCATGATATTTCGACAAATACTCCAATCAACAGAGCTCGCAAATTGATAGTGAAATCTGTTTCCTATGAGAACAAAGAAAAAAGGGTTACCGAGAGACAGTGAAGATATACGTTCATGTATATTTTTTTATATTTTAACCACCACGAAGGCCTAAGGCCTAAACACTCATTGGGTACTGTGGGGCTATAGGGGGATACAGGGGAAAGGGGGAACGCCACACGGACTCTGGCGAGGGAACACGTGTGCATGCAACATGCACACATTCTGGCTCCGCCTACGAGATCCGCCGAGTGGTACCTCCGCGTTCGACAGTCAGAGACCGTCTACCACCTACGGACAATCACAACATCCATAGCCAAGAGAAAAATTTCTCCTGGGACGGGACTCGAACCCGCACAGCGCACGGCGACTGATCAGGAGACCGAAGAATCAACTACTGCGGCCACCGCTGCTGCCTAGCTCTAGGGTTAATAATAATATGGGCAGTAACTTATCGGCCGATCCATATTCGGGCAAATCCCGAGTTTAAAGTATGGATATTCCATACTGTGGCAATTCTGCACTGAACTATACCTGGTAAAACCTGTGGACTATTTCTGAATCACATCGTGATGATTTATGTCAGAGGCTATTGTTGCACGTTCATTTAGATACGATGCAGTTCACCGTATATAAATGGCTATTAATCATCTTCGTTTTAACGGGTGTAATCAACATGAATATGCATTTCAAGACGAAATCACACCATGCCGCACACTGGATTTCTAACCAATACATTAGAGGACAGTATTGATATATTGAAAGGTTGATATGGGAAGGTATTGTCGAGCTCTCGCTATGGAATAATAATAATAATCATCTTTATTGGCCAACGGTCTTCCAATTGACGACAATAAATATGGCATACATTAAAACCAAATTGAATGGAAAAAACCCAATTATGGATGTAAAATATAAACACATTGAATTAGCCAAGAATCCGAAAGTACAATAGATTACAGAAAAAAATATACGATTTTCAACATTATGTCAAGCATCAATATGATTAACCTCTAGAAGAAAAATATGCAGCAGACATTTACAATAGACATAAAAATAAGGTTAAATGCTAGACATATTAAGAAAAGGATAGTCCATTTATATGATTTCGCTGTCTATCTACAAACCACCACAATTCAGTATTTTTGAAATACTATCAAAATTTATATTGATTTATTGATTAACTTAAAATAGTTAAATATGAACGCCACGTCAACGTTGATTGAGATTAAAAGCAAGACCTACGACAATTCTAGTTATCCCTGATTTTATGCTATGAATTGAAGTAATTAGCGAAAATGCAGGTTTTTATTTTTGTCGATTTTCCAAAAAGGAATTCACGCTTTTCACAACGGTACTGAAAACGATGTATTAAATACATTGATACAGTGAATTATTTTGTTAGTTAAGCCTGATCTAAACAGCCAAACATTGGAGAAAATCAGCGAAATGCAGCTTTTTCCATTTACGCAATTTTCCGGGCAACAAATCACAACTTTGACAATAAAACCTGAAAGAATGCACTGAAATATATATGTACATTGAGTTTTTGAATAATCCAAATAATGATCTCTTACTTTGAACATGTCTAAAATTGGAAAATCGGTAAGATTGCATTTTTTTATTTTTGCAATCTCTCGGGACACAAAACAAAATTTTGATAATAAAACTGGAAGAATGCACAAAAAAAGATATACAGATTGAGTTTTTGAATTATCGAACTTATGGTATCCTACTTTTAAAATGTCACAGATTGAGGAAAATCGGTGAAAATACGTTAACGATTTTTCGGGTAAAATTACATGATTCCTTTAGTGGATCTCAAAAAGAACGCAAGAAAGCACTGATATACAGTGGGTTCTTAGGTTTGCGAAATTTTTATTACTCAACCAAATTTTTTCAAACCTCTTAGTAGCACAAATCTGCAAAAAATCACACTTATGTAGACTATAACGATGCAGCTTCAATAGTATTTTCAAATTTTCTGAGCAAATTTGCGCCCGCGAAAAAATATGTTCGAAAAAACACTTTTTGAGGTTGGGGACCCTAGGGGCGATCGACCTGGTGATTTCATCAGTTTACCCTAAGGTGAATTGAATCAGATTTGGATACATTTGAGGGCAATTTTCATACAGCTTGTTCATCTGAAAACTTCCCACCACGGATTTATCGAAAACCATTGAATAAAAGAAAAAACGCCGAGACACCTTAAAAGATTTGTCAAGGGGGATAACTATTTAACCACCCCCTTTCACCCTTTGGCCATAAGGTCATTCACTTAAAAATTTTAATTGCAAGGGGTATAGAGTAATAGCTTGTTTGAAAGGTCTTTCAAAGTTCTTTATTTTGACGTATGACATTTTCGAAATCGGTCGATTCGTTTACAAAAAAATTAGAAAAATCATTATTTATGTTAATTCTTCAGATTGAAAACAAAAACCCACAAAAATATCACTTTTTATTTCAATAAGTGTCCAAAATGTTGCCTCTTATTAGCCAAACAATGATATATACGATGTTCAAATTCCTGACGGACATTTTCAAAAACATGTTGTGGCATATCATGGCAGCATTCGATGATGCCTTGACGAAGTTCATCCAAACCTTCAGGTTGGGGAGTAAACACAATAGATTTCGAATAGCCCCATATAAAAAAGTCTAATGGCGTCAAATCAGGAGATCTAGCAGGCCATTCTACAAACCCTCTTCGCCCTATACATTTACCTGGAAACTCGTCGTCTAGCCATTACCGAACCGGAAGAACATAGTGAGGAGGGGCGGCGCCTTTCTGGAAAGTACAGGGTTTCCATCCTCTTCCATTTGGTTTTCAATGGTATCAGTGATAAGCGCATTAATGCTATTCTCCAACATATTCAAATAAATGTCTCAACACAAATTTCCATTAATCAACAACCGTCCAATCACTTTGTTTTCTGAAATGCCTTCTCATACATTAACTTTTTGGTGGTACTGGGTATGGCCCTTTTACAAAACCATGAGGATTTTCCTTGCTCCAATACCTGCAGTTATGTTTATTAACAAATCCATTTAGATAAAATGTGCATTCATCACTGAAGCAGATAATCTTTACATGAATGGTATCATTAATCGCTGCAGTCATTTGTCCACAATTCGAAACCATCTGACGGCAGTTTGCCGAGCACATTAATTTTGGGCACCATAAATTAGAATCATTTTCACTCTTTCGGCTAGTGTGTAAACCATTTTGGAAGCAAAATTTGAATCAATAAATTAATCTTCACTATCCCAAGATTGTCGCCCAGGATATCTGTGTTGATGAAAAGAATGCGGAAAAAAATCGGGTTGTGATTTAGTTGTTGCCACGCCTAATCTTCCGAATTGCTGTTTATTGTTGGTGGTTTTCGTTTTAAGTTATAAACGAATTGTAGATTTGGCAAACCCTAACGGGCAACATTTTGAACACTTATTGAAATAAAATGTGATATTTTCGTGGTGGGAAGTTTTCAAATGTTGTATGTAGTCTCGCTTATAGCCATCAAGAACCTGTATATAGAGAATGGCAAGAATATATACTAAGTGACATATAAATCCGAACACCCAGTTTAAATGGTTTTATTTTAATAAAAGTTGATGAATGTATTTATCTTACTGTAAATAACAAGTGAAAAAATGTTCAGCCTTATCAGTTGGACATTCCGGTTTTTATACTGCTTTTTTTTAATTCACTAACGCTTTAAAAATGAATATTTCAGCCGCAGTAAAGAATCAACGTTGGCGGATTTTGGTTCTTCACATTCTTTACGATCGGTTACGATGCCTAGAGAACGGAGACCTGTACGATTTCGTCAACTTAGTGAGTTTGATAGGGGCCGTATAGTGGGACTTCGGGAAGCTGGACTTTCATTTCGGGCAATTGCAGTTAGAGTGCAAAGAAGTGTAGACACTGTGGTTAGGTGTTGTCAGGCATGGCTTCGAGAAGGCCGTACGCAAACAGCAAGGGGCACTGGACGCCGCCGTAGAACAACAAACCGTGAATATCGCCGCCTAAGATTATTGGCCTTAAGGGACCGTTTCTCCACTACCAGGTCCATTGCAAATGAATGGTTTGCAGAACACGGAATACCTATTGGCATGCGAAGTGTTTACCGACGAATGAGAAGTTTTGGCTTGTTTTCATACCGGCCACACTGGGTCCTCCCTTTAACTCGAGAACACCGACGTAATCGCCTTGAGTGGTGCAGAAAACGGTCACTCTGGGATCAGGAATGGAACAGTATTGTCTTAAGTGACGAGTCTCGATTTTGTTTAGGCATGCACGATGGTCGTGCCAGGGTGCCAGGGTTAGAAGGCGACGTGGTAAAAGGAGGAATCCACAGTTTTCTGTTGAAAGACATGTTCATCACACTGTTGGAGTTATGGTTTGGGGTGCTATAGCTTATGGTTCCAGGTCACCTTTAATCTTCATCAGAGGTAACATGAACGCGCAGCGTTATATCCACGAAGTTCTAGAACCCCATCTTTTACCCTATCTTGACACCCTGGCAGATCCAACTTTCCAACAAGATAATGCCCGACCACATATTGCAAGAGTCACAATAGACTTCTTTCAACATAATGATGTCACATTGTTACCATGGCCACCAAGATCTCCCGACTTATCCCCAATTGAGCACGTGTGGGATATGATGGGTAGGAGATTGCTCAATTTGCAACGTCCTCCTCAGACTCTAGAAGCACTTCGAGAGGAGTTGGTGGTTGCCTGGAATGAGATACCACAGGAGGACATTGACCACCTGATCAGAAGCATGCGTAGGCGCGTTGGAGAATGCGTAGGACATCAGGGTGCATCTACACATTATTAAAGGTCAAAGGGCTTTAAAGCAGTGAAATCATTTTGAAATTTTTATCATTTACTTATTATGCTTCATTAAGTATAGTATATAGAAAATTTTATTAAAATAAAACCATTTAAACTGGGTGTTCGGATTTATATGTCACTTAGTATACATTCGTCAATTAACTTTGAAACTTGATTTAATAATTCTTCTACGTTTATATGTTTAGGGCTTCTAGTTTCTAGACAGATACAAAATAAAATTACTGGTCCATGTACAGGTAATGCCTTCTTTGGAACGATTGTTTTGCACTTATTTACTCACTTTGTTACCTTTGTAGCTTAGTTAAATGAATATTATCAAAAATATCATTATACATGCATTGCCCAGTTGACCATGTTTGGCCTTGCGCTGCTATGGCCCTTACACAGAATTGTCCAATTTTATGAGCAATACTGTACGCCAAAGTATCTTAGCGAGTGTTGTGTCCAAAATCAAACGTTACATTTT